GAACTATGTGAAATCATTTTTGGTTAGTGAACTAGGAAAATATTGTATCCTTAAGTTTTCATTATTTGCTATAACCCCAACCTCGGTAAGATACTCGGCTATATGTTCGACAGTTGATTCGCTGGTATCACCAGATAATTTTATGAACTTTGGGACTTTCCAATCCTTGGAAAATTCAGTTTGGAATATATACTCAAATAAAGGATAAGTGTAGTTTGGCCTACTAAAGCCAATATTTACACCATTTCGTATCATGATTATTTCGACCATGGCTGCCAAATTGTTGTCTGTTGCCATGTTGTCTTGTCGAACTTGATATAAGCTTCATCAGCATTTTGATTTCTACTTACCATCATAACCCTAGGCTATGGTTTCCTTAAAATTTGTGGTTCATACCTAAAAGGTTCGACTCTAGATATTTTGACATTCATAACTCTAGGCACTTCGACTATCCCTCCCTAATTTATCACATTCTCCTTTGGGTGGATTTCTTTGATTATGTTGAACTTGGTTAATTGTTGGGTCCTCTTCTAAGATCACCCCTTGATTTTCCCTGACCCACCCCCTCTGAGGATGTGCTAAGGGTTGAGACACACCAAAGAAATTAGCGATGTGTTTCATTTGTGCAACCATTTGTTGGTTCGCTTGAGTAGTGTTTTGAATTAAAGGGTTAAAGATTATACCCATTGTTTGTGGGAGCATCTACACCATTTCACGGTTACTTTCGTCCATTTGTTTTCTAATCACCATTGCAGATTGATTTGTTAAATTTGGCATTTGGGAAGAAACTCATTCGATTTTTGGTTGGACATTTCAACCTCTGTTATTAACAGCAGATCCAGAATCTTGTAATGGTGAAGTAACGTTCATCACAGGATCTGAGTATGTTGAAGTGGAATTATGTAAAATCATCATAAACGAAGATGGCATGCCATAAGACCGCTCACGACCATTTTGAGGCATGGAAAAACCAAGTGGTCCCTGGGGCCTATGAAAAGTATTTCCCCCTGGAGGGGAGTCCCTTGGGAACCTTGTGGTCCTACATAGGTCAAAATAAGGCATGTATAAGCGTTCGACTATGTTAGCGTCGAACTTGTTAAAGACGGTATAGCCTATGAAAAAGGTGTAGAAACCGTAGTTCCCCCTGTCTAAGTGACTGGCGTGGTACTTCATCATTGTTATGAGGGTTCTGATTACTTGTCTGGCTTTGGTTCGCCATTTTCCTAACGTACTTTCTTTTAGGTATTTCCTTGTTATTTGTGGTTAATTGACCACTTCTAAGTCTAATACAACGCAGAAAAATACAAAAGGATGATGAAGATTTTCAAAATTTTTTTTTACTAGAACAGAAAAATTTGTTTATTGAATACAAGTCTCACTAGGCGTACCAATTTGTTTACCGTGAAATTTGGTAAACAACCGCTGGTATTTCAAATCAAAGAAAAGATTGGTGACTTGCAGGATCGGCAAGATTGATCCTAAGGACATAAATTATTATTCAAATTTTTATTCTTGAAAACAAAGAATACTTTCGATAACATTCTTAATCTTTTAAATGATACTGATTTCAATTATTACTTCGAATGTAGTAATGTAATACTTTAAAGAAAAGACTGATATATAAAAGACTCTTCGACTTAAACTTAAAAGGAATGTATAAAACTTCAATTAAAGTTGAATGGCAATAAACATTGAATTGGTGCATCATACGTACATTCTCACAATTCATTTCTCGAACGCTAGTACTTTGAGTAATTTAAAGTAATTTGTACAAATATGTGAATACACCAATCCTATTGCTAAGACCCTTATTTATACTAATTCGACCTAACGGTCTATTACTAAAACAATGCCACGTTCATTATTGCATGTTCTTTGAATCTCTTCAGGCTTCCATTTGTCTCTTTGGATAAGATCAAACTTTCAAATTTGAAAACCTTCTTGTCTTCGAAGCGCCAAATATAGATGTGACAATCGAATATTTATTATAATAATACTTAGAATAAATAAGTTTCAATGGTTCACAAAATGAAACTTACACCAACACTCAGTAAAATGAGACTCTTATTAGCTTTTCATTCATCGAAATCTTCACAAGATCCCCTTCATACTGCTTTTTCGAACCAAATTTATTTGAGGATGTATCATATTAGCTCAATATTCGTATAGTCAAAATTTTCAGTTAACAGGTTATTTAAAAATCGAGGGGTAAAGTGACACTGGTCATGGATTCGATCCCCAGCTATTGTATTTTTTGGAATTTCAAAAATGTGCTACTTTTTATCTTGGATTTTAACAATAATTTAGGGGGAAAGTCTTGTTTACAAAAAAAAATACCTGTTTTTTCTCATTTTAATCTGCAAAACATCAAATTTGTTGACAAATTCTGAATCTTCCTCATCAACAACAACAACAAAAACAAAATCAGTAGAATCCTTAAACATTAAATCTCAACAACAAAAACAACAACAACAACAATAACAACAACAACAAAATCCATGGATTCTTTAAATATTAAATCTCAACAATAATAACAAAAACAACAACAACAACAACAATAGCAACAATAACAACAACAAATAAACAAAATCAATAGAATTGTTAAATACTAAATTTCAACAACAACAACAACAACAATATTAATCATTTTACATGATACAACTGCAGCTAACATTAATAAGTTACTTTCATGCTTTCCTAACTAGAGAAAAGACTAAACATTAAGAAATCAACCTTGAAATATTTCATTGTTCTTGCTTTCATTGTCATTGATTTGAATATGTTAATTTTAATTTTGAGTACTTTGTATCCAAGATGAATAGTTGTGGCATTCACGTTTTGATTGACTGGTGAGAGTTTCACGCGGATCACTAATGTTTCATGTGGATTAATGAATTGACAATATCTTAATCATTGCTACTTTATAAATAGACGACAAAGATCCGTTACTTAATTTTTTTATCAAATATATCATAAATAATAAATAATAAAAATAAAAAAGTGTTACTTTACCTCTCGATTTTCAACAAAATCGAGGTAATAGATCATAAAAATTTTAAAAAAAATTAAAAGGTGGTAGTAAAATGTAGTTGTTGGGGTTCAAAGATGTGTCCCTCTAGTTACTTTATCTATCGATTTTCAGCAAAGCAGAGGTAATAGATCATAAAAAAAATTCTAAAATATTAAAATATGTTAAAATGTAGTTGTTGGAATTCGAATGCGTGTCCTCTAAATATTTTATCCCTCGATTTTCAGTAAAACCGAGAGAATATATGGTATTTTTTTTCCAAAAAAAAAGAGGCGCGTCTTTGGTTTATACTTCGAGTTTTTTTTATGTGAGGTGTATGTTCTGTCATAAGAAGTGTTATTTCTTGTAGTGAAAAAACACCAAATAAGATAAGAGAAGTGAAGTTAGGGGACTAACTTGTAAATTTGTTTAGTTAAGAAACTAAAACGGAATATTAACTTAAGTTAAGAGACTAAAATATGTATTAAGCCTTTATTTTTAATCTTCCAATTGTACTCTTTAATAAATACTCTTATTTATTATTTTCTCATTTGCCATTATTAATAATTTGATTACACTAATAGTTAATAATGATAATTTGTTAAAGTCATTATTCTATCTCTTTTATTTATTATGATATTTTAATTTGTGTGAAAGTGTCAACTATAAATAACATTATTTTAGGACGGAGGAAGTAATAATTAAAACTAATGAAAATAAGGTCTACCTTAACAAGTAAATTAATTAAATTTTATATTTAAAAACTTGTATATATTCTAAAAAAAAAGTGGTTTTTATATTCAGTAGTTTTTAATTTAATTTTAAATTTTATTTATATAAAAAGTAGTTTTCTTTTGTATTTGCTTGCAATATTAAAATCACTTATTAAAAAAACTATCAAAAAATCATTATTTTAGAAAAGTACTCCAAACAACTTCTTATTTGAGGTATTATTTAGATTTTTTTCCTTCAAATTCTTTTTTTAATCCATAGCAAACGGATGAAAACGTATAAAGGTGATTATTTTGTGTTAAAAAGTAAATTTTTGACCAAAAAAAAAAGTTGAAACAATTGGGCTTTGCTCTCACAAAAATTATTAAACATAATTCTATTTATTTAGGCAATATGATATTATTTTCACCAAAAACGTTTTTCTCTCTCATAATTGATTAAAAAGTATGTTTGATAAATACTTTAAGAATAATGACATTTAAATCAAATAATCAATCAAAATCAAATATTTTCAAGTCTGTAGTCAAATCCTTCAAAATAATATTGTTATTATTAAAATCCACTAATATTCTAATAATATTAAATTGCACACTAGTTTGAACAACTTATATTTCTCCTTTTTAACGAAAAACCATGGTCTTATTGTAACGTTTGAGCTAAGTAGGATCACACGAGTGATAAACTTCTCTCTCAAGAGTTATAATTTTAGTCAAATCAAAAGAAATTTGTGTTATCTTTTGCTAATTAAACAATTGAGATAATAAATATTTAATGAAAAACAATCAAACATGTTGTTAACAATTTTATATATATTTTTGAAAAAAAAAACATATTTATACCTCTTATTGAATAAATTAATACAATAATTAAGTTAGTCAAATTAATTTAAATATTTAATTAACGATTAAGTTTTTATTTTTGAAGCGATGAATTGCATAGGTCGGAAAGAGTAAGTAAATGTAATGTACTAAAGTTATTGTTGATGGTATGAGGATAAGTGAATAAATTCTGTGGATAGATGGTGTAAATAATACATTAAAATAAAAAATAAAATTTTTTTATCTATGGTCATTGTGATATATTGGAATGTTTGTTTTCATCCCACAATTTGCTCCATGAAACATTGACTAATTTTGATTTTGAAAGAATAAAATCAAAATATCTATAAAATATTAATCTAGATTCTTCACCACCATTATTAAAAGATGAAGGATGGACAAAGTAAGACATCTAAGTGAAGGGGAATCAAAAAGAAGAAAGAATGTCTGGCCATGATGTCGAAAATATCCAAGAACTTCAGTTATTCACAATACCACAACTGCAAGTCCAAACACCGAATGTTAATACCACCATAGACAACAGCAACCCTGAACCAACCACCACTATTGTCCGCCGCCCTCGAGGTCGTCCAATTGGCTCTAAGAATAAGCCTAAGACACCTATCATAGTAACATATGAAAACCCTAATGCATTATGTTCTCATGTGCTTGAGATTATTGATGGAGTTGATGTGTCAAAAAGTCTTTTTGATTACGCTCGTCGTCAGGGAAGGGGGGTCACCATCCTCAATGGAAATGGAGAGGTGGCGCGTGCCAGGCTTCGCCAACCCACAGGAAGAGTCATAACTCTTCAAGGAAAGTTAGAGATTCTTTCGATATCTGGGACAATTTTTCCGTCACCAACACCTGAGATTGTTGGGGGATTGAGAGTTCGCTTATCAGGAACAAATGGACAGATGATTGAGGGTAGTGTGATTTCTCCATTAGTGGCTTCAGGTCCAGTGATTTTGACAGCTACTTCATTTGCAAACATTATTTCCGAAAAGATTTCTTCGATAGCGAATGATTAAAAAAAGTATCAATCCCGTACCTTTATTTAAATAATAATTTTGTGATTGGAATCAAAAAATTATTTTTATGATTACTCATTTTTGATTCATTTATTTATGATTCTCTCTATATAATAAAATAAATATGAACAATTGCTTCTCTATCAAAATAAGTAAAGTTTAACTGTAACACCTTTTCTACTACACAAATGTTATAGATCTTAAATTTTAGTGAAAATGATATGGTGTGAAATAAGTCGCATCTTTGTATTGTGTCCGTTTATGTATGGTAGGCCTAAATTAAGGATTTACAATAATCAAAGAGAAACAAAAGATGAAGGTGGTGTTGAAACAATGCATGATTCCTTAAAAATTCAATGAGCAAGAACACAAATTGGAGTACTAAGACAGCAATAACGAAAAAACGGGAACTTATGTCTCTGATGGTGTACTTTAAATATAACCATTTTATTAAACTCAAATTTTTTTTTTTTGCAACGTTAAACGTTAGGGAAATATTGAATAAATAATATATTTTTTAAAATTTATTGATTTATAATTATCAATAATTTATTTACATTAATACATAAATATAAATAAATGTTATCGTCAAAGATTAATCTTAGTCCCACATGTTACACTCATTTAATTAAATTTATAAATATTAAATGAGTTATCTCACTCATCCTAATATATAATATATTTAATTATTTATTAAATAAATATAATATAAAATTTAATTCATACAATTAAAATTAAACAACATAAATAATAAAATATATATTTTTCATCAAACAAGTAAACATTTTTAATATGATTAAAGGTAATGATTATAGTCATCATGGTTTGATTTACAATATGTCTACTGAATTGTCAATATTAGTTTTTATAAATTTAAAACAAAATTAATTTTATAATTTATTTAATTTGTGTTCTATTTTTTTTATATTTATTAAAGAGAAATGTGTGTTCCTTTTTTTAATATATTAATCGATGAAGAATTTATCTTGTGTTTCCTTTTATATTAATCCTTTTATATTAATCGATAATTAATATTGATTAATATGAGTACATAACTAATAGATCAAGCTGATGCTTAACTTTTATAAGGATCTAGTTGGTAAAGAGTCTCAGAACCTAAGGAAAATTAATATTAAGGTAATGAGAAAGGAAAAAATAGATTACTGTCGAGCAAGGTAATTTTCTGATCAAGGTAATTTTCTGATAAGTTCTGTTACTAATCAAGAAATTTATAATGCTTTGAAGAGTATGAATAATAAATTTCTCCAGGTATTGATGGGTATGGTCCAAAGTTTTTCAAGTCAACTTGGTCCATCATTAAGAAGGATATCACAGCTGATGTACAAGACTTCTTTGAGAATGGTAGATTGTATAAAGCAGTGAACAATACTATTGTTACAATGATTCTTAAAACTGTTGTTGCTTGCATGGTTAAGGATTTCAAACTTATTTCTTGCTTCACTATTGTGTACAAGATTATATCCAAGATAATGGCCAGAAGACTTGGGTGTATTTTGTGGAGTATAATGCATATGGGCCAAGTTGTTTTTATTCATGGGCAACACTTGCAGGATCATTCTTGCTTGCATATGAGTTGATTAGGGCTTATAACAATAAGGGTGGTGCTCCTAGATGCATGCTCCAAACGGATTTACAAAAAGCCCATGATAGTGTGGAATGCCAAGTTGTGGAGGACATTCTTGTTGAATTAAGCTTCCCCAATAAATTCATCAAGTGGACTATGACAATTATCAAAATTGTCTCCTATAAGTACAAGATCAATAACTCCCTTACTTCCATCTTGCATGCCAAAAGGGGCTTGGGATAAGGGGATCCCCTGTCTCCTCTTATATTTGTGTTGGTAATGGAGTATCTCTATAGAGTGCTTCAGAAATTGGAGTTGAACCATAATTTCAATTTCCACTTTAAATGTGAGAAGCTCAACATTATTAACCTTAGTTGTGTTGATAGCTTGCTCCTCTTTACTGGAGTGATGTATAGTCGATTAACCTTGTTATGCAGGCTTTCCATGCTTTTTCTGAAGCCACAGGTCTTACTGTTAACCCCAGTAAATGTAAAACTTATTTTTGGCAATGTTGAGGATAAGGTGAAACAAGCTATCTTAAGTAGCACTAGTTTTGTGGATGGATCTCTTCCTTTTAGGTACTTGGGAATTCCCCTAACCAGTAAGAAGTTGTCTGTTAATGAGTGTATTGGTATGGTGGATACGATTGTCCATAGAACCAGGCATTGGAGCTCAAAGTTATTAAGTTTTACTGGTAGAACTCGATTAACTAATAGCGTGCTTTTTTCTATAAGCAACTTCTGGATGCAATGCTTACCAATTTCTAAGCAAGTTATCAAAAGAGTTAAGGTTATTTGTAAGCCATTTCTCTGGGAAGGTACATATGTTATATCAAGAAAGTATCTTGTGACTTGGAAGAATATTTGTACCCCAAAGAACAAAGGTGGGCTAAATATCATTTCTGTCTATGAGTGGAATAGAGCTTGCATAGCTAAGAATCTGTGGAATCATTCGGGTAAGGCTGATAGCTTATGGATCTGATGGATTCATAGTTACTACTCCAAAGGGAAAAGTATCATGGAAAATCAACTCAAAAAGTACAGCTCTTGTATTATGAAAAGCATATTGAAAATTAGAGAAGATGTTAAGTGTGGGATAATATGTTGAACAGTAAGAAATTTCATACCATAAGCATTTATGATGCTCTTTTGAACTCCGATCAATATGTGGTCTAGAGGAAAGTTATGTTTGGTAATATTTCTAGACCTAGGGCCATTCATACCCTTTGAATGGCTTGCCACTTAAGCCTTGCTACTAAAGAGAGGTTAGTCAGGTTTGGTATGATTCATAATGTTATTTGTTGTTTCTGTCAAGAGATTGAAACACAAGATCATTTACTCATAGATTGCCCTGGTATCAAGTCCATATGGAAGCAAGTGTTGTCTTGGTTGGATATTGACAAGACTCTAGGTGAGTGGAAGATAGAGATCAGATTGGTTACCTCGGGTGTGTAATAAGAAAGGCTGGAAAAGGACAATCCTGCAATGTGCTTTCACATAAGTTGTTTATGAGTGTTGGCACTATAGGAATCATATTTTCTTTGGAGGAAAAATTGATCAGAAGGCTATTGTTCAAAAGATAATTGATGTAGTGGTTTACCAGCGTTGGACTAAACCCATTATTAGGCAGCATATAGAAAATTTACTTATGTAATATTTGGTTTGTCTCAGGTGTTTTGGTTGGCTAGTTTTATGTTGAATCATTTTGATCACTTGAACTATATTGTTTTTTGGATCTTCTATAAAAGTTATTCTTTTGATTCAAAAAATAAAAACAATTAATATTTGTCATGTGTTCTTTATTATATACTAGTGTCGCTACCACGAAAAATACTGATGCAAACAGAGTCACCATTCAATGTTATTTATCCTAAAGAAGGGAAAGGAAAACATCGAGTAAACATGAGAAAGAGAAAGAACATGGTCTTGAGACCAAGAGAAGGGCACGGAAGTCGATTATGCAAGGGGAAGGTATTATCACACCTCACGTCCGTTGTACTTAATGAAATCCGGTCTAGTTGTTCTAATCAAATGGTGTATTATATCTAAAGCTTACTTGCTAAGAGAATGCATGAGAGAATTGATTAGGAAAAATAAAAGTTTTTTTATTATTGTGCTCACCTCAATTTCGAAACCTCGTGCCTATGTGCCCCCATCGTACAATAGAGAATCAGAGCACCATAGTTTTTATCAAAAAATTGGTTTGCTGGTGTCTCTTATGGGTAACAACCATTTATGAAAAGTTTTCAAAAGAAAAGCCCAAGCGATAAAAGAGAGTCTGATTGGTTGAGTGTTTTTGTTAGGAGAATACCTCAGATGGTCCTCCAAGGCCGGAGGTATCCGAGTACTTCCCATGTATTTATGAAAGTGTTTGAGATACATATAATACTAAAGTATATGACATGAGAGACTTTTGAATGATCGAGTCAGGCGCCTCGTATCCAAAGTACTCTGCATGTGCTTAAGGATCGTGGCGTATTTACACGTATTGTATTTATTAGGCGTTTTGAACTTGCTTAAGAAAAATGTTTTAGTTTTACAAACATGCAATGCAAAAACTAACAAAAGAAAAAGGGATCTCAATCCTACTTGTTGTAATGAAAGTGTGGTCCTAAATTAAGGATGTCAAAGGATATCTACATAATGTTGTCATGCTTGGATATGAATCCTGAGGTCTACTTCAGTTCAAACTTAACCAAGATTGAATCAAAAATCCTAAGGGAACATGGTATCTCACAAAGCAAGGAAGTGTACAAGTAACAACTAAGCAAATCTCATATACTTAACAAAGCATCAAGAAAAAATTCTCCTAAGTCTAACAAGACTCGAGACTAGACAAAAGTTACCTAAACAAGTGATAGGTAAACAATCACACAAACAAGTGATGTGTGAAAAGACCTTAAGAATATGTACCTAAACATGCAATAGGTAAACACAATAAGCAATTGTTTCAAGGAGAAAGAGTATCTAAACATGTATTATCTAAAACATACCAAGTTGTTATCATGGTAAAAATACAAAAGCAAACACCAAATTGTCGCAGTGAAAAATACAGGAGATCAAGCTATTGAGAAACTTGACTCACAATGATCTAAGAAGTCACCACCAAACTTTATTTTTTATAAGGAAAATGGAAAATATAGAAACCATGTTGTTTAACATGCAATGCAAGAAATAAAGACTAAATGCAAAGCATAAGGAAGAGATCCAAGGTACAGGGGTTAGTTTATACAAAGGGAAGATATTAGCATCCTATGTATCTGTAGTACTCTACAAGAACCACTTATAATATATATTTTTGGTTCAAATTTGTTTGTTTGCTAAATGAGTATGGAGACGAGAAAAGAAAATATTTTTATTATATTTTTGTTTGGAAAGACATAGTATTATACTTACGTACCAATTAAGTATCAATA